AGCACTGGACCTGGTCATGCGAGAAGCGAGTGATGAAGTTTTAACGGAGGAGGAAAGGATGGTGGAAGGAGAAAGAAGGACAAAACAAACAACCCCCTAATCATCTCAGTCTTCAAACAAACCATCGTGGGCACAAAAGGTTAGGGAGACTCTTGAGGGCAAATCATTAACAATTATGAGGCCCCCAGTCTCGGACACTGGTCTACCAGCAGAAGAACTCAAGGTGCCTTTGAGAAATCTGACCTCTGCACGAGCCTACTTCCTGACTCTCTTCCTCCTCCCTTCGGAACAGACGGTAGTAGATCAAGGAGGAAGGAAGATGTTGATGAAATCGTACCCTGCATATAAGTTGGCTCAAAGAGATGCAGTCTACATTAAACACGCGAGCAATTGGAGCTTTTATGATGACTGCGCGTACAGATCAGTTAACGACAAAATTAAATGGATCTGTAAACACTTGGAATCAATAAAGGATAGCCCAAAGGCACTCAAGGAGTTCTTCCTGATCCAACCGGTAACACCCACAGTCTTCACAGTATTAAGTCTGTTTGATCAGGATAAGCGTAAAATGGATGGGTGGAAAAAATTACGCTGGGATCATTCAGATGTGTGTATCTACCCTTGGATACCAAAGAAGATAGGTCCCGAGGAAAAGAGAGACCAGTTAATGAGAGACTACTACTGGGTAGAATTGAGGCACATCCCAATAGAGGTTCAAGCAACGTTCATTCACGACTTCGGACAGCACTACAAAATAGTGGATTTCATAGACCCACTACCGACCTACGCGGCGAAGAGGGATGACTATGTGATGCTGGCGTTGGATCTCCCCAAGGACCAACCCTTTTCCCTAGATGACATCATTCCCTTCAAAATGAGAGGGAGATTATACCAAATTCATACAGCACATAAATTCAGACCATGGTGCTATAGATGCAAAGCTTATGGTCATCTCTCCACTGAATTAGCTTGCCCACAGCACCCTCAGCAGACTGCTGGACTGGAAGGTACATTAAAAAAAGACCCCCTCCGGGCGAACAGATGGTTACCCAATACTCCGGGGTATGAAGGTTGGGTATATGTGGACGAAATGTTACCTGGAGGCCAACCCAGTGGTTGAAATTGGGAGGGCAGAGGTGACCCTAGGAGATTTACAAGACCACCAGCAGAATGGAAGTCTCCACCACAGCTTCCCACTAGACGTAATAGCCGGTTACAACACCCTTCAAAATCCAAACCTCAAATGCCCCAAGGGAATAAGGTGGGAGAAGAAGGAAGTGGGAGAAAGAACAAACAACCAAGCGAGTCAACTAAGGCAAACAGGAATGGGATTCGCATTGGACCAAATGCAGGTGCCTATATACCAACTGGTAATAGGTTCACCCCCTTGAGCAGAGAAGGGGGAGGAGAGGAAGAGAAGAATAGGGAGGAACCCAAAGGACAGCATTCAACAAAAATGGACCAACAGTCCAAAGTGGACCAGGTGAAGGGACTCAACAAAGGTAAAGAGAAAATGGGAGACCCGGAAGTCGCATCGGATGTCCCATTGGACCAACAAAAAGCAGAACCAGGCCCGGTACCAATGGATGTAGACCCACTAAAAGACATTTTTGGACCGCAACCAATGGATTTAGAACCAGCCCCGGGTGTTCCCCCTCCCCCCAGAGGAGTACTAGCCAAGAGTCTACTCAAACACCAACAGGGGACAATGCAGCAGACCTCCAAAAGGTGGCGGAATGGTTACTAGAGAATCTCAAGTTAAAGTTCCAAGGCTGTTTAGAGGAATTCTGGGGCGTCACATATGTGCAACTGGTCTCTCTATTAGAGACCAGTTCAAGCCTCCGAACAGCGTTAGAACAAGGATTGCCACGGGAAGTAAGTTGGCAACAAATGTGTCATCGCCTGCTGCCAATAGTAACAGTGAGATTCCAACCCCAAGAGAATCGAGATCAATCAAATCTGGAGGATAAGCGAGCACCAGGATTGAGAGGGAGCATGCAGGCATCAGGACCAGGTAGGGACTCATTAGTTCCAATAAGGAGTGCATACCCTGGATCAGAACAAACAAACGATGAACAACTACACAATCAAGGGGCACAAGTTTCATATGTTGCAGACCCCCAACAAAGCAAACTGGTCCAACTGAAACAGCCAGATTCCCACGCTGGAACCCTTAATATGGAAACAAAATAGGGGACACAGGTTGGACAGAATCCAAGCAACTGGGGTTCTAGTGATGGGATTGAGGAACTGGGCAAGGGAAGGGGGATAGAGGAAGAAGGAAGTGTGGATCTCAAGGAGGATCTCAATGAGGATGACACAGAAGAAGATAAACCCCCACATAACACAGTTAAAAGTATGGTCATCCATCAACTCAAACAAGTAATCTCTGAATTAACAGGGGAAAGTAAATATCTACTGCTTACCCAAGCTATAGAAGAACCAAGCAAAAAGCAGCAAGACTCAGAGATAGAAGAGATATCGCAGGTTGCTGAAACAGAAGAAATCAAAGAACCTCCAGCCGACCCGCCGAATGGGGAAGTCAATGAAAGAAGGATCATTTCAAAAAATGTTGACACTACTGAAATAAGGGATGGAGAGGAACTTATGAAATCTTTGCAGCAACAACAATTACGGCCCCCCATCTCCTCTCAAGAAAGTGACCTAATCAGTAGAAGGCAGATACTTAGATAGTTGGTGGCAGGAGGACAAGTTGATTTACCTCTGTCCAAATCTGGGGTACTTATCCTACCAATCAGATTTAAAAGAGACAATTGGGAGGTAGGATTATCAGAACCAAAGGGTGCGATGCATGGAGAAGTAACAGAACATGGAACCCCAGTGAGCACTCTCTCATTACTATTAGGTAAAATGTCAGGGAAAACACGCTTTAAAGCTGAGATTGTAAAAATTATTCAAACCCAGTTTCCGCCAGGGGGCTCTGCAGTGCTTATCCTATCTTCGGAAGCTCACAGGATTTCAGCTAAGGATGTCTTCCTCAAGTACGAGCACACACGAGCAGTCAACTTACGCTGGTTCACTCAGGACACATTAACAGAACTACAACAAATGAAGATCAAGACAGGTGATTTCTGGTCAGAAGTTGAAATCTCGATCCTACTCTCCCGCCTCCTAAAGAACGGACAGACCTTACTGGATCAGGGGGGAAAGTTAGACTCATGTCACTGGTAAACCCTGTAATACAATCTACGAACAACCGTCTGACAAATAAAATAAACCATGGAAGACACAAATGGATTGGAGGTGCTATACAACAGGAACAAGGACTGAAAATTCCTGAAAAGAGCTATAGACCTAGACTTAAGATCAATTAATGTAAATGGACTAGCATCGGCCAAACAACAAAACGCCAGGCTATCTATGAGCAACTAAAAGGAGTGGAAGGTAGGGAATGGCCGGATGGCATCTGTGTGCAGGAAACACACCTGATGGACAATGCAGACCACCATCATACACATGGACAGATCTGGCCCCATCAGGCCTTCAGGGCACACACACCGAGACCAGGCAGTGCGGGAGTAGCAATATGGCTTCCCCCTAACTCTAGAGTTGATCCACTTTATTGGGAAGCTGAAAAGGAAGAAGGGAGAAGGGTATTCCTCTTGGCGATGTTAGAAATTGAAGTTGTGACAATCCTATGCGTATACGGTCCCAATGAGGTAGGAGAAAGAAGTCTTTTTTTTTAATCTCTAAAGGGTCACCTTCCCGTCGGTATCCCAGTGGTAATGGCAGGGGACTTCAATGCAGCACCAAACGGACAACTGGATCGTTGGCAGATCCCTTCCCCCTGCCCACAGTACGTGGAAAGAGATGAACAAATAATTGAAAGACTATGCCAGTCTATCAACCTCTTTGATGCATACAAACGTCTTTTTCCTATAAAACGTAAATTCACATGTTTTAGGAAAAGTTGAACAATGAATGCATCCAAATCTCGTATTGATCTCATACTTCTATCAGAGGAACTAGAAGGAGCTCTTCAATTAGCAGAGATCTTCCCTCAAAGTGCCTTCCCAGACCTTGATCACGCTATGATTGCAGTACTACTTTCGTTCAGGAAAAAAACATGGATCAAGGTAGAGGTTTCTATAAGTTAAACACATCCCTCTTAAGCATCGATCGCTTCAAAGTATATCTATAAGATGTTTGGTCCTTCTGGAGAGAGCAAAGGGAACAAATTAGGGACGATATACAATGGTTCAACAACGGCCTAATGTTTTTGGGACGTAAATGCAATGAATACTCAAAAATGCTTGCTGAGCAACGCCATCGAGAGGAATTTGATCTGCAAAAACAACTCCACCAACTGCAAGAACAAGAAGAAAATTCGGTGAACGAATCTCAACTAACTGAGATTACCAAAAGAATCTGCGACTTGGAGTCC